GGGGGAGGGGAGATAGTTGTCTCCCCCATAGGTTCTGATATGTCCTTGTTATCCATAGGTATTTTTGAGGACTTTGGAGGCAAGATGGTGGTGGAGACCACAGGGTAGTACTCAAAAAGGGAAAGCAGGGCTGGTTCTCTTTCTAGGTGTCTCCCAAGCCTACAGGTCCTCCTTACCCTACTGATTTTTCCCTTCCTTTGTTTTCATCTTTCAGTTCTTGCCTTTGGTTTTTCCCATGTCTTTCCAGACTCATGAAGTGGACAAAATGTGGGTCTTGGTGACTAGAGAGTCAAAGTTTGGGGTCTTGGTTCCATCACATACTCATGTTAGGGCCTTAGAAAGTCAAGTCATACTAGCTGTCCTTGCGTTGGCTTCTTAACTTACACAATGGTAATAGCATTTGTCTCACAGTGTCCCAAAGGATGAAATGTGTAACAGGGCAACTAAAGGTCATACGAAGAGGAAGAAACTCTCATAGTGCACAACTTCCAATGTCTGCGTAGAGAAAAATAGAGCTTTCGATGATGCTGTGGGTCAAGATGTACCAGAAAACATGTTCAAAAAATCAGAACCAGAAATTTGATGCTGTCTTTGAAAGGGGCAGAAATGTCATTGCTCTAAGAATAAAGGAGTGTTGTTCTTTCTTTGTCTAGATTTGAGTTTCTTTCAGCTCTAAGATTATGACATTATAAAAATGTACAGATCAAACTGTTTGCATTTAATCAAATAACACTTTGAAGGATATTTATTTTTACTTATGGGTGGTCCATTAAAAATCCGGGAAAAGCCATGATGCTTGAGAGAATTCTAATAACAAGTGAAATATGAAAAGATATTTGATGTGTGAAAGAGCTGACATGCTGGATGATATAGGACAGAAGTCTTCTCAAATGTTGCCTTCTACATGACCCTGTGAGAAGTCTGATCTCAGAGTAGTAGAGAGAGATCTGAACACAAACTAGAAAAGAAATTAATAGGCTTAGCATGATGGAGCACACTTTTAATCCCAATACTCAGGGGGTAGAGGCAGGGGGAGCTCTATAAGTTTGAGGCCAGCCTGGTCTACATAATGAATTCCAGGCTAATCAAAAGTACATAATAAGACTCTGTCTTTAAAAAAAAGAAGAAAAAATAGGATTCAGTAGCCAAACTGTTAGCTAGAAACCTAACCACCCAGTTTTACAAAGGTAGCTGTAATTACAATATGAGAGGACAGGCCCAGATTCTAGGAAGAACTTCTCAACTACTGTGATAACTGGGAAATTAGGGGAACCATTTTCTCCGAAGCCTTTGACAAGAGACCACAGAGTGGGCAGGCAACTAGACATCTTGGGTAAGGGCATTCAGAGTCAAAAGCAATGACAAAGCAACTTTTTGGAGGTCCCTGTCCTTCCGTTGACTGCTTCGGTTTGAAAGGATGAACCCCCTGTGTCTCATACACACAATAGCCTCTTGCAGTTACCTTGGCAGCTCACACATTGTCAAGCTGCCCATTTCTTCCCTGCTGGCACAGTACAGTCCAAGGTGGAAGCAGTGTTTTTACAGATTCTTGCGTGTTCCACACTGGTATGTGAGAATTGCTTCACATTGCAGTTAGCAGAGAGGAGGAAATGAAGCTCACTCCCAAATTGGAGACAGGAGTGTTGTGTTTCACCCTCTTTGACAGCCAAAAGCCAATTTAGGACTCTCTACAAAGCCAAATTTGCCAGGGGGGAAAAACATGTGGGTATCTTCTTAATTCTCCTAAGCTCACTTCGGGGTTGAAATCAGTGTTTGTTGAAGAAGGAAAAATGGATGTGGATTATGGATTAGGGGCCATTTCAACAAGAGAAGCAAGGAAGGGAGAGTCCACCCAGACTGAACTTCTCCTGGCAAGATTCTTAAAAGCCAACAGGATAACAGTCAAACACCAAGTGTTGGCCGGAAACGAGCCAGTCTCCCAAACCCAGAACAAACCTGAGTGTATTTAGTCATAACAGCAATCTCATGACATGGCTGGTTCAACATAGCAACACATCTAGGGATCCCAGAACTGGACATAAAACCAGCCACCTGACTGCTGGGCCTGAGTAGGTTTCGGTGGCCACATTCTTCAGAAAGAGATTTAGAGGGGGACCATCCACAGAGAAGCAGCTGCCTCCTGTGTCCTCCCATTCCTATCTCTCAGTTCTCTGACACTGAGGTGATGGGGCCAGGCATTTCAGCTAAAAGTGAAGCTGAAGCCAATGGGCATTACAAGTCTACATAGCACTTGGGAATTCAGTTCAGTTACCCTGTAACTCCAGATGTGCTCATGAGTACCCAGACTCTGTCATCACTGAAGGGTCCTCCTCGGTCTGAGAGGATTCACTTTCTGGACCAGCAAGTCAATAGAACATCCAAGAAGCATTCTTTGAGATGATTACTGTTAGAACTGTTTTTTTTTTTTTCCTATCCCTGATGTTCTCCTTTAGGGTGATGGATCCCCAATCAAGGAATCTCTAACCCATTAATAATGCATCAGGTTTTCACCAAGAACCAGTACAGCAAGAAAAACAGAGAAGGATCCATTAACCCCCTGGCTTGTAAGAGGCCCTTGTGATTAATACATTTATCTTCTTTTATATGAATATCCCATAGCAAGAGGCAATGATTACCAAATATTGGATAGGTCCATGAATGACCAGAATGCGCCAGAGTGCTTTGAATGGTTGCAATATCTGGATTTCCAGAATCTTTGTCCATTGTGAGTTTTAAACGACTGCATTACCTCAAGCACAGCAGAAGAATACTTTTTTAGAAAGTCAGAAGGCTCAGGAAAGTCTTATAATTACACAAATCAATTCTATCTACACATTATTTACTGTGCAGCAGATACTGTGCCAAAGATAAGACGTGTAGGAAAAAAGTCGCATACCCAGTCGGAGAAATAGACATGTATAAAAGACAATTATCTTGCAATAGGAAAAGCAAGAGGCAGGCCGCACAAATGCCCAAGAAGGAGCAATAGGTTGCTCTCCCTGGGGAGAGAGGCTAAATGAGAGATCTGGGAAGGCTGCCCAGAGGAAGCAACATTTGATTTGAGTCTTGCAGGTTGAAGAAGACCTTTTTTTTTCACCAGAAAGGAGAATGGGAAGAAGCATCATCGATGGAGGGAAGAACACAAAAGCATTCAGGCCTAAATTTAGCCATCTTGGAGGTTCCCATGGGGCGGATGTTAAAGGGCTTTGTCCACTATACTAAGAACCCCAGTACCTTGTAAGGAATGGGGTAGCTCCTAAGTTTTGAGAGAGCTGACCTATCCAAGCAGATTTATCATTTCAAAAGCGCCATGCAGGGATGGTGAGACGGGACCAGGCATGGCCAGCTGCTGGAGGCTAGGGTCCTAGCATAGAAATAAAGGGGGCCTTCCTTCAGCACTGAGGGTAAGCTGCAAAGACTGGGGGTGGAGGCTCTGCAGGTGTCACAGGAGGCCCCAACACCAGGCTGAAGATGTAGCTCAGTTCGTAGAGTGTTCGCTTCATGTTCACAAAGTCCTGAGTTTGGCCCCCAGCGCTGTCACATGCCTATAATCCCAGCAGGAGAATAAGGGGTTCAAGGTCACCATCAAGAGTTCAAGGCTTGACTGGGGTACAGGAGACTGATGGGAAGAGGAGTGTGACTGAGGACATGGAAGAAAGCAGGAAGTGAGGTCAGGGACTGCCCAGTCGTTTTCTTACACCACACACAGAATCAGCTCAGATGAACAAGTTAAGAAACCAAAATCAAAGCGACTGAAGGTGCACCCAGGACCCACTGTAGCCGCAAAGCCTTGCACTGGAGGCTCTATGCCCCGGCTTCTCCCCTTGCTCCCAGGCCTGGAGACTGTGGTCACAGTACATACAGTTACATTCTCTCACTCACCCCACCCCCGCCACATTCCTCACCACACCACCCCTACCTGATGACTGCCATCTCTTTCCAAGTCTTTACCTTATGGAAAAAAAAAAAAAAAAACCTCTCATCCTGCCATGCTCTCAGCCTCCCTTCCCATTGCTTCTTTCCCTTCCAAAGTAATCCTCTCCTCCTACTCCCCATCCACTCCCATTCACACATGGCATCTTGCTAGAAAAAGCAAGAGTAGGGCAAAGAGCAATGAATCAAAATTGAGGGCGATCCACGTTCCAAGCCTGATTTAACCCACCAGCTGGCTGTAGACACTACCTGACCTCAGACTACTCTGTGGCCTCAAGTAAAATGAGAAACAGATACTAACCTTTGCTTCGCTCACAGCCCTAGTATGAGGACAGAACACAAGGAGTGTGCTAACACCAGCAAGAGGACAGGAAGGACGCAACAGGGCTCTCCAGCAGGAATGTCCACTAACCTGTGAGTTCTTTGAGGGCAAGAGCCAGGCCACCTGGGGTCTTGGGGACCTACTTTTTCCGGGTACAGAGTGAGTACCTGCTAGGGACTGGGCAGGAACCATTGTCACCCCAACCTCCACACATCCACAAGGTTGCTCTTGCCAGCCCTACAACGTGCAGGCAACGCACCCCCACAATACCCCACTTTGGAAGCACTGTTTTGCTCTTAGCTTATTCCAAAAACAGCCCGTTCCTGGAGGAAAACCAAGCAGTAGTCACGAGGCCTGGATGCCTCGCTGGGCACGTTTGTTTGACCAAGTCTGTGTTCCATCCTTTCTCCAAGGAAGTTGCTGAGAGCTGAACCTCCTCCGTTCTCCTTTGGTTCATTTTCCCTCCAAGGGGCCCCAGCTGGGTCTTTTCCTACCAAGCTGCCCTTGTGCTCCCTCCCTCCCCGCATCTCTCTCTCTCTCTCTCTCTCTCTCTCTCTCTCTCTCTCTCTCTCTCTCTCTCTCTCTCTCTCTCTCTCTCTCTCTCTCTCTCTCTCTCTCTCTCTCTCTCTCTCTCTCTCCTCCCCCCCCCTCGCCCCGTCCCCCGCCGCCGCCTCTACTGCTGTTTTCATTGATGCCTTGAGCAGAGCTGGCATGTGCGACTGCTGAGAAGGGGGAGCGTGGAGCAGCGGGGGAAGCAAGTAAAAATAGCCTGTCGCGCGTCGCTCTGCCTGCTCCGGACGCCTTTAACCCTCACGGAGGGGGAAGAGAGCCGCAGCCGCCACTGCACTCTGCAGAATGTGGCCCGGGTCTGCACCAGACTCCATGCACCAGTCCGGGTGACGGCGGACCAGGACCCACGAAAACTTTCACATTTTAATTTTAATTTTTTTTTTAAGACAAGCAGAGATGAGGTGGGGTAGGGGAACAGAGGGGAAGAACTACAGCTACTGAGCGGCAGGGACTGCTACGTGCTGGCGGCCCAACACTTTACTAGAGCGCGGCCTTGAGACTCCAAGCTATTTTTAGAAACCTGTTCCTCGGGTGGGCGATCAGAGGACGGAGGGGGAGGGGAATAGAGAGACCGGCTCTGCTGTGAAGCTGAGCTCCTGGTGCTATACTCGTTTTCAAAGGTCTGATCTCCGGCTAGGGGTGGGGAAGAGGATGGGCCAAGGAACGACAAGCGGGCTGGCTTTGCCCTAACTCAAGGAGAAAACATTAGCTGCTGAATGCCCTGTGTCTTTCAAGCTCCAGAGCATGTTTGTTTCAAAAATCGACAGTTGCCAGAAGCATGCTGTCTCTAGGGCCCAGGAAATGGGAATTCTTAAGCTTTGCTGCCTACACTGTGGGGTGGGGATGAGTTGTGACCTCTAGGAAACAAGGCCTGGAGGGTCTTCACGTTGTTTTTGCATTTCTGAAAGGCCGGGACAGTTTCCGCGCCACACCCCCATCCCCGCCCCACGCTGCATATGGGTTACCGTATGTGAAATGTACGGCAGCCCCACCAGACACCGGGCTATTAATAGAGCCCCGGAGTTTGCTCTGTGTCTTTTTCCTGCCACCGAATAAGGGATGATCACACACACCCCACTCCGCCCCCACCTCGGCGCACGGTTCCTCCGCGAAGGTAAGGGGGCTGCCCACGCCAATTCCCTCCGTGACTACAGGTGCCCAGAGCCGAGGAACAATCCCGTTGTGGTGACAGCAGGGTCAGAGTGAGGCAAAAGAACAGACTTGCTAGGGACGCAAAGCAAAGCCCTGCTGGGCTCTCTGAAGATCAGGGTCAACTCCAGAGTAGAGAAAGGGCAGCTAAAGGGCTGCCGTCAGGGTTGCCGAAGACGGAGGACAAGAGTATCATTTGCGGAGCTAGAGCGGCCTCCCAAAGGTTGCTGCGGGACAAGTGGCCGCAGACCCGTTTCGCGCCGCAGCCCAGGGCGCGCAGCCCCCACCGCCTGAGCAGGCTCCGCTGCGGCAGGCACGGGCGCTGTCCCTGGTGCTGAATGGGGCCGCGGTCTGTGTGCCCTCCCCGGGTTCCGCGCTCCCGCCTCCCCTTCAGCACTCGTGGACTGCAGACCTCCAGTCGCGCCCCGATGTGGGTTGGAGGGGTCTGGTTGCAGGTGCTTGTGTACCGCCTCCTAGTACGGCCCCCCGAGGCCGGGAGCTCTCCGCGGTGCTGCAGCGACCCGGAGGTTGGGGACCGCCTCGAGATCGAAGGGTAAAAAGCCCAGGCAGCGGTGGGAGATGGTCGAGGCACTGCAGGGAGCAGACCTGGCCCTAATATAACCCACCCCAGCTCTGCGTAAAGCCGGAATCCGGGATCATTATCGGAATCCAGTGCACACGGGCAAGGGAACCGGGTTGCCCAGGGTCTGGGACTTGGGGGAGCAGAAAGGGAGCAGCGGGTGGCAGGAGAGGGTGATGGGGGTGAAAGAGACTTTTACATTTTCAAGAGGGGGGAGCTGAGACATGCACCGTAGGCCCCCTCCCATACTCCTCTCAATATCTCTCTCTCTCTGTCTCTCTCTCTCTCTCTCTCTCTCTCTCTCTCTCTCTCTCTCTCTCTCTCTCTCTCTCTGCCGGTAGAGACACAAGCGGGATGGGGAAAGTTTGACACCACGGCAGCGGTAGTGGCAGCAACCAGCGGCGGCACACAGGGGTCCGGGTGGGCGGCAGGGTCACCGAAAGCCCCGGCCCGGTCGCCTCCTTACCTCTGTGCTTTCGACTGCGTTCTCCGCCATTTTCCTCCGGAGGAGCAGGCAGCGGGAGGAGTGTTTCATGCCCATAAGAGCCAGCAAGGGTTTGGGGATTCGAGATAGTAAAGAAAGAGAGAGGGCTGGTGTGGCTTTAAAAGAGAGCCAAAGAATGCGAGAGGAAGGGGTATAAAAAATCCCCAGCCAGCCCCTCTCCCAGAGCGTCCTCCGCGACAATCGAGCTCCGTGGAGTCCCTCCTGCGGTCGCCACTTTGTTCACGTTTCCTCGCTCCTCATCTGCCTCGCATCCCTTCGCACACTTCCAAGTTCTGGTCGAGCTGGCGACCCCCTCCGCGCCCCTCTCCCCTGCGCGGCGGGCTGGGCGGGAGGGAGGCGGCCCCGCGGGCTCGCCGGCTGTAGCGGCGGCTCCGAAGTCCGGCAGGCGGGAGGCGGACGCCAACTCTCCCAACTTCTGCCGATCGCTGGGCGAAGCAACACGCGTCCTGCTCGGCGCTCCCGGGGGCTGAGCGGGTGAGTGGGGGCGGGGTGGGAGGTGCGCGGGAGCGAGCGGTGGCGGGGCGCTGACGGCGGGGACCCCCAGCCCGCCCCCGTGCCCGGGACCGCGGGGTCTGGGGGCCGCCTGTGCTCCGCTCCGCTCCTGGCGCGGCGCACACCTGGCGCGGGGGCTAGGGCTGAGCGCACGCCGCAGGGCCGCGCGCCAGGCTCCCGGAAGCTTGCGTCCGCGAGGCTGTTGGAGGTTCTCAGCCCTGGTGCAAGTCCTCCTAGCTAGGGCAAGCTCGGGGCAAGACTCGGCCACCGTTACCCCCGTCTTCGTCGTCTTCCCCCACCCCTCCTCCCGGGCGATTCCTGGATCCTTCGTGGATTACGGTTTGGGGAGTGAAAGGATGGGTGTCTGGGTGGGGGGCGGGGGGGAGTCCTTAACTCCTTCAACTCTAGGACTGAATAGGCCGTCTCTATCTAGCCTTTCCTTCACCCTCGGAGCCCAAGACAGAAAGGGCTTCAAACCCCTCTCAGGAGGACCGGGTTGGGGTGAAGGTGGCCGCTCGAGGTGGCTTGGGAAAACGATCAGGAACAAGTAATGAAAGGGCTTGCGGTCTAGCTTCCTATCCCTGTCTTGCCTGACAGCCCCCCTACCCTAGGCCCACATATTTCTCCTTCCCCCTTCCCGACCCCTCCCCCCACCATCACCAGATCTTGAAGTCCCTTTTATGGGAGAGAGCTGTGAGGATGTCACGTACCCATTAGGATTCTCTGGATCCTTTTTTAAGGGAGTTTGGGCGGCAGCGGGGGGTGTGAATTTTTATACAATGCATTCCTGTCTTCACTTTGAGAGCTTTTTTCTCTCTTTCGGGCCATCTGTCAGGCACTGGGGGATAGAACAATGGGGGAAGGAGGCCGGACTCAGGACACTTTAACTGGCTATCTCAAAGACAACTGAACGTTCAGGTTTTCCAGTCCACAGGTCAGGGACAGGGACCTCACAGATGGCCCTGGAGCATTCTACTCTCTTCATTTTGGTCCCTCTTTGACTTATCTAATCCAAATGTCCTGCTTATTCTGATCATAACCTTTGGTAGCCAGAAATTGTAAGAGTGACTGTCCTCATCTAACCCGGATCCATTGAGGAAAAGGGCCAAACCAGGCTCAGCATGATGAATTCCTCCATCAGACCAGATCCTCCGGCAAAGAGAAGAGACACTGCTATAAGTGGGGGTGAGAAGTGAAAAACGGAAAGAGGAGACGATGAAGAATGAGAAGGATTAAAGAAAACGCAGCAAGAAGCGTGGGTTAACTGAGCCACATTTATTATATGCTCCGAACAAGAGTAAATTCAAATGAATAACCTCAGCATTCTCAGTCCACAGACCTGAATTTGAGTTGGGTGCAAATGAGCAGATCTTTGGCAATACCTGGTCCTTCTTCACTACCATCCTGCCATTCTTCCAAAAGTTATATAGGAGAGCGGGGTATAAGTGTATCTAAAGAGTGACTCTTACCCTCTGGTACCTCCTGTTTTCTAAGCACCTTCTCCCAGATTAAAAAAAAAAAAAAAAAAAACACTCTGAGATGCTAGATCAAAAGAGGTTCAATACTTGTACAATCAAACAAGACTAGAAAAGCAAGATCCCCACCCACACATTGGGCCAGTCCTCTTGCAGGTAAGGCCCCTAGATCAGAGAAAAGGGGACATTTGTCTATGATCCTTTGACAAGCTGTGGAAGCCTCTGAAACCAGCTCTCCAGCCTCCCGACTTTCAACCCAACACTGTCTCCACCCCACACTCCTTCTGCTTGTTCATCCATTCTGTGACTAACAGGGGAGGAGGGGAGCTGAAGCAGGCTCCCACCGAAATAGGCTGCTGCTGTGCGTGATTATGTTGCTATGAGAACCTCAGTGGGGGTGTTTCCTCAGTTCTCTGTTGAAATCTTTTGCTGTGCTTGGCTTCTCCCCAAGTACAGACACAGCTCCTGTTGGAATGGGGAAGGGACATGGAGAGCTGTGTTTTTACAGCAAGAGTTTTCTGTTCCAACTCAAAGCCAGCCTGGGGCACTGAGTGAGATATCTAGGCCACGAGGGTTGCTCTGCAGTGGCCAGAGGAAAGCATGAGTGACCTATCATGGTTGATGTTCCCACCCCCCTTGAACCCTCCTGAAGCAGAGACACTGTTCCTGCTGAGCACTCACCTAATTACAAATTCACAAATTGAAAGGTGGAGCTTGGAGTAATTTGTTACTCCTGAATGCTGGAGGTAGAGAGATGGCTCAGACCTCCACTTGCATCCACACACTTGTGCATGTACACATGCATGAACATGTGTACACACACAAGGATTACCTGAACACTCACTGCCTAGGGTTGTGAAAGCCCATGCTGTATGAAAAAATGCACAGTCCTTTCAAGGACTATTTTCTCGCCATCCCCTCATTCTTGAGGAGCTAGCCCTTTCTTGTCTCTTGCATGAGTATCAGCATATCCTCTTACCAAATTAGTTTAATTATTCCACATGATACTGACTGGACATCTCTTAATAATAGGAACTTGGCTTAACAAGGCAACAGAACCCACCAGACTTCTGCTGAGTTCTCAATTTTTAGCCACCTTGAACACTTGGAACAGAATGTTTGTAAAGCTTTTGTAGAGACTTTAGTGGCAAGTGAGAAAACATGGGATGATAAAGGCATTCAGCATTTGTTGTGGTGTGTGTTTGATGTGTTCTGTGGTCAAGTGGTCCTGAAGACCCATTAGCTCATTTGCCTTGCACTCGACCTCGAACAGAACAGAATGTGTTGAATGGCACACATAATGTACTCAGAGCAATGCTGACCTGATGGTAAGAACACAAATATGTGAACCTTTGCTACAGTTTGTCTTGGAGCATGAGTTAAACTTCATAAAGTGTTTGTTGTGTGTTGTAGTCTCTATATCTGAACAGGTTTTCGTGAAGTCCTTTTGGCTAACTCTTTGGGGTATTGTCTCTACCAAACAACACGGGGCAGATGTACAGAAAGAGACAAAACCCAAAGAATTACCCTCAGAATGCAATCAAGGTGGAAGTCCCGGATGCCTTATTCCATACACAGCTCTGGAGAAGTTAACTGAGCTCAAAGAAGAGGACAGTGGCTCCAACCTTAGCTGCATGATGGAGCCATCTAGGGAGCTTTAAACACACCAACTCTTTGGTTCCTCCTCCAGTGATTGTTAAGTTGATGAGTGCATCAAGAGTTTTTAAGAGTTTAATTCTAATAGAGAGCCATGTTGAGGACAAGTGGATACAGATACGTGGAGACAAGAACTGTGTAAGATCCCTGGGGTACAGAAAGGACCCACACACACACACCCAGAACCACAGGATCTGCCCCCATATGGAAAGGTCTGCCTCTAACATACACACCTTTTTGGTGTTTTCCTCCAGTGCTGGGTTCCAATCCCAGCAGGTTCTGCATCAGCACTCCCACTGAGCCACATTCACAGCCCTTGGTTTTGAGATAGGGTCTTGCTGTGTGATCCAGGATGGGCTGGAACTAGGAAAACCACCCCTGTCCTTGCTTCCACGGTGCTGGACCTGCAGGTGTGGGCTGTGACACTACCAGTGCTGCTTCCTGAGATCTGTGGAGTGGAGCTGTGTTGGTGCCTGGGGTGGCATGCAGGATTGGAAGGAGCCCCTTGGGGAAGGGTATCATGGGGGATAGTTCTCTAGTGCTGTGAGATACCACTGAAGAGCTGGAGTTGCTGTCACCAGGTTTAGTTAGACTCATTTTATGACAAAAACATTGGATATGTTCAAGCACCAGAGGAAATGATTACTTACATTGTTCTATTAGTAAATAAAACTTGGGAGTCCTATATTGGGGTAAAATCTGATAAATCCAAAGACTGATGGAGGGACTATCAACTGACCCTGTCTCTCCACACTTCCAGATTTAAAAAGCCCGAGAGTCTAAGCCCCTCCCTATTCCTTCCTGTGTCTATCCTAATCTGGGTCCACCAAAACCTCTAATTTTAGCCAGCTGAATGTTGATGCCACCCTCTGACTCAAGGTTTAACTTTGTCAGTCTCGGGAGTGTCAAAGTGTGATCAAAATATCCCACAACAGGGGGAGACTTGTAAACACAGGAGGCCTGTATGTTCCCACCCAGCCTATTCTGGAACTCTATAATTTTGCCTAAGAGCCCATGCTAGGATCCCAGAATCAAACATTTCCTTGACTGCCTCACCACTATCACCAATCCAATGATCCGGAATAAGGATGCAGCTTCCCTGACCTATAGGCCACACTGCTTGGGAAGATGTAGGTGCCAAGTCTGGTCTACTCCAGCATATAAGCTGATGTGTGCTATCCTCACCACCTCATATGTACCTAGGACTCACACAGGACCACAGCACACTGCAGTGGATCCATGCCTCCTCAAAAATCAGGCCACAGCCATTATCCATCACTACACATGACAGCTAACCCAGCAGTGTTCTGAGTGTTGTCTGGGCCAGATGGAGTCCAGCCAAGGCTGCAGTAGCTGCTACCTGGCCAAGCTTGAAAGCAGCCCCACACCTGGGTGGTTCTCCTGCACAAAAGCTGCTGTAGTTCCTTCTCCCTGGCTAGAGGCCCATTGATTTTGTGTTTAATTTTTTGTATTCTTTGGGAATTTCACATCATGCATCCTATCCCACTCATTTCTCAGTCTTTCCATGTCCACCCTCCACCCTTGCAGCCTCCCCTCAAAAGAAAAATTAAAAAAAAAAAAAAAAACCCACTTCGCTCTGCCTTGCCCACTTCATCACATATTCGTTGATCATAGTATTGGGAGCGGTGGTGTGTCACCAGTATACCCTTTCCCAAACAGTTTTACTTGTATATGTTCATTGCAGTGAGTCATTGGTCTGGTTCAAGGCCTCTGGCTTCTGCTATACCATCAATACTGAACCCTCACCAAGACTCATCTCAGGTACCCATCCTGCTGTTGCCAGAGTCATGGAAATCCTGCAGCTATGGTTCCGCAGAACTGATCCTTTCACTGCTCCAGCAGGTCGCAGATGTTGGGGTGGGCCAACTCAAAACTCTGGATGCAGGCCTGGGTGGTAGCAGAATTGGTTGCCCTGGCCTCTGCTGGGACCCAACTCAGGCAAGAGCCAGCTCTTCCCTTGGCAGCCATCTCGGAGTGGAACCAACTCTCCCTTGACCATGCCATTGGGGCCAGCTCTCCTGTGCCCACACCACTACCTGCTCTGTCACACTGCCACCAGCAAGGGGCAGGGCCAGCTCTCCCAGGGCCAGTGAGGGACGAGGCCTGATCAACAGGGCCCTTAGACATCAACAGGGCTTTAGGCCGCAGTACAGACCTCAGGCATTCTCATGGCCTTTGGTGGTAACACGAGCCACAGACATCAACACAAGACCCCAGCTACGGTGGGGCCACAAACCCAGACATGGCCCTCAGTGACAACACAGGCCCAGATATCACATGGCCTCAGGCGGCAGCTCAAGCCACTCATATCAGCCTGTTCCTCACTGCTGCTGCCTGACCAGTTCCGCCGCTCTCCACAGCACATGAACCGCTCTGCTTCTGGTTCTTTCCATTTCTCCACCACATACTGGCTCCTCCCAGCGGCACCCAGAGGCTGCTGTCTTCTGCCTGCCTGCAGGCCCACTGTTCTGCAAACCACATTAAAACTGGCAGAGGTGTCACCAGGCCCTGCGAGGCACTCCGTTTCCTTTCCTCCTTGTTGACACTAAGACCAGAATAAGAAGTCTTTCCTCCTCTGATAGTGTCCGATTAAGTCATTGTGGGTTTCTGTTATGCGTGACACTACTTGGCATGGTAGCTCAATATCTGGGAGGCATTTCGTTATAGTTCTGCACTGATAGGGCATTCTTTGGTGCTTTGTGCTTTTCAAATCCAACTGCTCTTGGGCTGAAGCACAGCTCAGGACGGAGGGCATGCCAAGGCCCTGGCTCCAATCACCAACACTACAGAAAAAATTAAAAAGGAAAAAATTCTGGAGACTGATGAGATGGCTTATTGGATAGTGTCTGTTGTATAGAGACCTCAATTTGAATTCCTGGAACCTATGTAAACGCTGGGAGCACAGGCAGGCATCTATAACCCCAGTCCTGGAGGAGAGAGTGGGGAAGAAACAGGAGGACCCATGGGGTTCAGTGGCAAGCCAGACTCGCCAGCTGATGAGCTCTGACCTCTAAGTCCACTGAAAGACCCTGTCTCCAAAAAAAGTGGCGAATGATCAAGGAAGACATCATACGTCGACCTCAGACCTCCACACACATATAGACATTCATGCATATCCACATACATGAACCCCCATGAACATGTACACAGAACACATCCAAACCACATATACCACCCCCAAAATTTAATACCTTGATTACCTGTCTTTCTTTCTAGATGAGAAGGACCCAAGGATTCATTTTTCTCAATCGTCTATGATAAAAGTCCAAACTTCTTTGGAGACACAGAAGAGCCTCAAGGCACCAAAATAATCCAAAATGCTATCACAACAGAATTAACTTTTTCTACTTGCTAAAACTGTACATGTCTTCCTTCCTTTTCAAGTCATTCATATTTACCTTTTTACAGCAAATTCCTTCCAAGCACCCCCTGTCACCATGAATGCCATTTCCTCCTAAGAACCCTTATGCAGAAATGACTATGGGTCATGCATGTGTGAAGCTTTCTGGACTAAGAGACGTAAAGCTGAGTGCCTGGCCTGGTGGTACTTATCTGGGAAGATTTTGTCAAATGACCAACTCTAGTACAGTCAGTGTTCTGATAGGCTCAGATACTTTTGAAGTCTCATGAACTGGTTCTTACAGGTTAAATACAGCTGTGATCAGTGGCTAATCATCAAATGTGGAGATGATCAGGGGAACCCTGAAAGCTGGAAGCTCTGCACCAAAAGCATAAGTCTCCATGCCAGGGAGGCTGGGGACACATTCCATTCTGGGAAGTATTGCTGCCTCCATTCTCCAAATGCACTGTGATTTCACTTGATCATAACACAGACTGCATGCAAAACTGACCTCAGGCAGCCAGGAAACTCAGTGAGCCCGTACAGCCGAATAAAACCATGAATGAATACACTGCTTTTCTTCTACAGTCTACTTACCCATCATGATCACTTTCTTCTATCTTTATTACATTTTCATTTAAGACTTTGCTGGGCTGAGGAGAGATCAGTAAAGCGCTTGCCTTGCAAGTGTGAGCACATGAGTACGATCCTCAGAACCCATGTTAAAAAAACAAAGCCAGGCATGGCGTTATGTGCTTGCAACCCCAGCATAACAGATGTGAAGACTCGAAGGTCATTTGGACTCACTGGCCAGCCATCCTAGTCTACCTGGCAAGCTGCAGAGAAGTGAGAGATCTCAAAGTGACAGCTCCTGAGAAAGAACATCTGAGCACCTGATGCTGTCCTCTGGCCTTCACAGGCATGCATGCACTCTCTCTCTCTGTCACACACACACATACACACACACACACACACACACACACACACACACACACACACAAAACCCTTCATCTCTCAGTGTCACTGTTGACATTTTCCTGTGTGATCTTTGTGTTTTGCTCCTGCACATCTATATAATATGCAATTGTGTGTGTGTGTGCATATGTACATATTGTATGCATGGTGTGTGTGTACATGTGTCTGTGTGCCTGTGTGCGTGCCTGTGTGTGTGCATGTATATACATGGGTGTATGTGCATGTTCTCAGTGCATGCTGTTGCTATGGCAATTGAATCATTTGAAAATTGTTTCCTTTATTAAACAAGCCTCTTTCCAGGTTATCACATGTTTAGCCAAGTTAATTTTTTTTTTTTTTTTGGTTTTTTGAGACAGGGTTTCTCTGTGTAGCTTTGCGCCTTTTCCTGGATCTTGCTCTGTAGACCAGGCTGGCCTCGAACTCACAGAGATCCGCCTGCCTCTGCCTCCCGAGTGCTGGGATTAAAGGCGTGCGCCACCACTGCCCGGCTGCCAAGTTAATTTTTAAAACTGTAAACATCTTGGATTAACCCTACTTTTTTAAAAAAGCAACCCTTTTTTAAGAGACTTTTAAGTTGTTCTCAGTTTCCTGTCTCTCTGAGAAACTATAGTAAATGTTCTTTTACACATACCTTGAGAATGGGAGCCTTTATTTCCACGTGATGGGTTCCCAAAAGTAGTATTGTCTTAGTACATATTGTCAAATGTTAACCAAATTGGTATCTAGAGGTATACCCTGAATCCTTGTAAGACAAAACCTCCACCTTCCTTCACTCATCTGCCCTGATGTTGTGTGCAAAAATGTCCGTTGCATCCAAAATTGAGATCAGGGTCTTGAGGCAGATCTACAACAGCGAGGTCACAGTCCTGTCAGAAAGGTGTGCCCATAGCATGAGCCTTTCAGTGCTAAGAAAATCTAGGAGAGTCACTGAGACCTGTGGCGCTTCTCAGTGGCCATCTTTGCAGTGCCCAGAGTGCTCCCAAACGCTGGATAACAGGAATGATTTCAATGTCTCCAAGACCTTCTGTGATCTGAAAAACAGTAAAACTCTTTTTAATTGGCACCAATCTTCTGTCTGGAAAGGTATCCAGGACTAACCAGGCACCCTCCGGTCCCTTTTCTTCCAGGCTATGCTGTGGCAGTGCCTAGATCAATAGCAGCTACCACTGTGTGTACCTAATAGAAGCCTCACCACCGAGAAGCCACTTTCTACCTCGGGGAGAGCTGTGCTCCACCTATGGAGCAATGTTTCCTGTATTCAGGGTTGCCCTATCAGGTGTGACTCATCTGTGACTTGTCACACAAGGAAAGCTCACAATTTAAAATCATCCACTTGAGTCCAGGCTTCGAAATATGAAGCCTAGAGTAGATGATGGCAAGAGGAAGGAGGCATCCACGGGAGCCTTGGAGAAAGTGTTGTGGCTTAGGCCAGTAAGTCAACTGCTCCATCTGTGTGCCCATGGAAAAATGGCAGACTCTGGCTAGCAGAGGGGTGTGAGGCACACAAGCTCACAGGATACGGCATGTCTCAAAGTTCCTAGGTTGCGGTGTTTTAAGGCAGGGAGGGTTCCTTCCATTTCTGCTTTGTCATCTTGGAAAGGCTGTGACAATCACAGCTCTGTCACACACCCCAGTAACCATGAAGACTGACCAGACACATCTGACTCAGTAGTACAAATGAGGAATGAAGATCAGAGTACCTGCCCCCAACTGTAAGAGTGCCCATGGGCTCCTGTGTCTGAAGGCTTGGTCGCCAGCTGGTGGCGCTGTTTGAGGAAGTTGTGGAACCTTAGGTGGCAGAACCTTGATGAAGGAAATGGGTCACTGACAGCAGCTCTTGAGGTCTATCCACCAGCCCCACTTCCCATCTGGTCTCGGTTCCATGTTCTGCTAAATGTAAGGAGTCTCAGCTACAGCTTCCCACTGCCATAGAGCTGCTTACCACCACACCTTTCCCTCTACGATGCACTTAAGCCAAAAATAAAATAAAATAAAATAAAATCTCCCTTTTCAGTTGTTTTGTCAGTTATTTGGCTACAACCATGAAAAGTAACCAATGGAGAAAGGAAATCCAATTCCTATGTGGTCAGAGGCTGATGGAGGCCCAGTCCTGTTAACCACGGTGTGTACCCTCAGTGAGCCATGCCTTGGCCTTTCCAGATAAGGAAGGCATTTCCATGACAGTAACCAAGCAGCCAATACCACAGTATATTTCTCTGTTGCTGGTCAAGAGCAGAGCTCAGTGGGAAAGCTGGTAAATTTATCTACAGCAAGGGCTGTTGGACCTAAAAACAGCTCCTGGTGATGGAGGTTGGTGCACAATTAAAGTAATCCACAGACTGACCTGCTTCAAGTGTTCAGATACATAAAAATAAGAGTTGTTGCTCTAAAAAAAAAAGACTCGTCAATGATTCTTGACATCAAAATTCATCCAGATGTATGGATGGCCTGGCATACACTATGAGGGTCACCAAAGATATTCCCGGTAGCAGCCATTTGGTTGCAGGTGAGGCAGCCAAGCAGCATCCCTTTCCGGAAGCAATCCACTCTGCAGCTAGCCTACCTGCAGGGAAACAGACATTGCTCACTATGCTGGCTAAGCTCTCAACCTGCACATAGCCAGCGGGGCTATGGATGGTTCAAGTTATTCCACGGGAGAAGTGACAGGGGTGTGAGGACCCTGTAAAATCACCCAGGAGAAGAAGACAGTTCTGTTTCTTGGACTTACCAGTGTCCGTGTGATCCGAATGCAGCTGTGGCTCGCCGTGGTCAAGGACTCTCTTCTCCTGGGGTGGATGTTTTTCGGGTAGATCTGTTTTTCGTGGCTGAGATTCTTCCTCCCGGGGTGTCATAAAGGAAGAGAGTACCTGGTGTCCTTAGTGTGAGGTGTGCACAATAGGACTCTGTGATGTATGTGCCCAGTCACTATCCCACCAGATGCTCTTGGCAGCCTCAACTTCTAATGCCAACCCTTACTGTGTATGTCAAGGGCAGAAGGCTGAGAAAGGTTGAGAGGCTTGAGCTAAAGGACCGGGTCACAAATTCAGAGACTGAATTTCACATGACCTTGTTTTCTTTGACACCACCAGTAGAGGGTCACAGACTTTGGTCTTAAATGTGGGCTCTGTGACCTTGGACACATCACTTAACTTCCCTAAGTAACCCCATGCTTGTCTACAAAAGGGAGCAGAGGGCTGGAAAAGCTTACTGTTTGGGGCTGTTAGGAAGCACATAACCCCAAACAAGCTCATTGTAATCCCTAATAAATGAGAGTGGTAACACACAGCATACAGCTGGGGCGGGGGCGGGGGGGACACAGATCAGCAAAGCTGAATCTGTTCTTGGACTCTTGTTACAGGGACAAGTGCAAAGAGTACACCCCACCCCCGAGGCCAGAGGACCTGTCAACTTGGGAATGGCTATAGACAAGAGCAACTGCACACAACTGACACCTATCAACCTATATTCCCGCCCTCAGCGCTGTCTGTCACATCTGCTTAGGAAGTTCTCTCAAGGGTGTCACTCGGGTTGCATAATATCTTTGCAGGTATGGAAGACATTGTTTTTTAACCGCTGGAAAAGTTCGGCTTATACAATGCCCATTCCATGACACCAGAACTTGGCTAGTGGATCTTGAAAATGGAGCTTGCCCAGGAAGAAAGACAGGATCCAGCACATTGGCAAGAGGGTGGTGGAAGAATTGAGGGTGGTGACGTCAGGACAAATTGCATGCAAAGATGATCTGTTGTTCTCCTTATTTCTTCTCTCATCTCCCTCTTCTTTTCCTCCCCCGCCCCACATTCTTCTCCTCTCCCCTTTTCACTAATCTAATGTCAACCCTGGCAGGCTATCTTATGCTACACTGAGATTCATTAAACTCAGTACTTTTTCTTCCTGGTCCATGAAACATGCCTTGGAACATTCAAGTCACAGTTTCCCACTGGAAGACTCTGAGTTCAAATCTTGCCCTCTCCCTTATTTCTCCTTTAGTCTCACATCAATCAGGACAAAGAGGAGCCTTTTCTCTTCCTTCTCCTGATTGTGTAGTGGGGTCCTTGAAACCATTCTGGTCTCTCCCCTTTCTCAACCTTGCCACACCTGTAGAATCACAGCCTGCATTTGGGTGTGTGAGATGTCAAGTGAGTGGACCAATGAGCCTGTGGGTGGTTTTTGTACAGCATTTCAGGTAGTGATCTGATGATGTCACTAGGAGACTATGCCTGTATCACACTAAGTAGCAATGCCCCGGGGTCCTCCCTAGATCCCTCTTCTGATGGGATGCCTACAATGGTCCCCCCAGAGATTTTTAGGAGACCCACATCATGCATATTCACAATAAGCCTTCACTTGAACTTCCCTGGGTCATCATCTGATAACCTTAAGCTGCCTTGCGGCCACCTGCATTAACAATGACCCCTGTGAGAATAGGGAGGGCTGTGCGCAGGGCTGCTGAATGCTGTGCAGAAATGTGGGTGGGTTGTGAGCCACTAGCACCCACCCTTGTATTCAGAGTCTCAGTAAGTCTCTTGCAGAAACACCCATTTCATCCTGTTTTTGCCCTGAAGCCATCCTAATGTCCAGAAGACAGAGTACACTGTGGCTTCTTCTTCTTCTTCTTCTTCTTCTTCTTCTTCTTCTTCTTCTTCTTCTTCTTCTTCTTCTTCTTCTTCTCTCTCTCTCTCTCTCTCTCTCTCTCTCTCTCTCTCTCTCTCTCTCTCTCTCTCTCCTGTCTTCGAATACCAATACAAACTCCTTCCTCTTTCAGCCCCACACAAAAAGGGCCTTTAATGGTTCATCTATGTTGTCAACTTGACTGTATTTGGAGTCACCCAAGAGACACACCTCTGGGTGTGTCTGTGACGATGTTTCTAGGGAGGCTTACAAGAAGTTCTACCCTTAATGTGGGTATCACCATCTACTGGCTGGGGCCCCAGACTGAATGAACAAAGACAAAGGAGGAAACCAGCTAAGCACTGGCATCCACGCCTCTCTGCTTCCCGAGTGGAGGCGATGTGACCTGCCCCTTGACGCTCCCTCCTGCCACATCTTCATCACCATGACGGACCACATCCTCCTCAAAGCCCTTCCTTAAGCTGACTTTGTCAAGTGTTTTGTCACAGCCATGAGAAAAGTAACTAATATGTGATCATACAGGACAATTCTTGGAGAAGGAAGCCTCGGGTTGAGGATTGGGAGGCCTGGTTCTCACCAGATCTCAGACTCAGTTATGCAGGAGCTAGAGCCCTGGGGCCTCCTCTGGTGGCTTGTACATGTGCCCAGTCCTTTCCCTCTGGGTTTCTGGCTTGCTCAGGTCTTGTGCAGGGTATTTCCCACCAATGTACCTGGGTTACATTTTGTGTTCTACATCCAGCTTGGCAGGTGACAGCATTTATGGAATATCTGTAACAGAATGGGGACCATCTCTTAAGTCCCAAAACTATCCTTATTACAATTTCCAACATCCCCATCATGGCTTCTCTTCTGTTTCATCATCACCAAGGTTGCGTGACTCTTGGGGGAACAATCCTTCCCATTTGTGAGCTGTTCCCATTTGCTGTTGACGGGTCTGCATCCAATGAAGACACCAGCCTCCACAAAAGAATGAATCTCTAATGGTGGAGGGTCAAGCATCAGACACAGGGTGCTGCCACCATGACCATGGAGTGGTTGTAGAGGTGTGCCCAGGTGATCCCAAACCCATAAAATCATTTTATACTGATATATAATTGTAGTTCTACAATTCTAATTCTTTAGTTGACTGCTGAGTTGTGGCCTGGTGGATGAGTTTCAGGAAAAACATAAAGTTATAAGAAGAAAAAAATTACAATACAGAGTCAGAAGAATGTCAAATTCTAGGCCCAATTGTACTGCATGTTGCTAAGGGCCCCAACGTAGTGGGTCAGTTAAGACAGAAAGACACCTGGGAAACTGGACCTGGTGGCAGCTACAGTCTGGGTCTGTCCTTAAGGTCCTCTATATTTTCAAGTTGCATATCTTCCTCAACATTTAGAGGTGTTTTGGCAAGCCAAATGTATGGGTCATGTTCAAATCTTTGCTGGTATTATTGTCAGTTGTATGGTTGATGTTCAGAGTACAGACACTGTTCCTAGCTCTCTAGGCAGGCAAGGGGAAGAAGGAGGCAGTGTTTAGGAAGCTGGGACTCAAGTATTTGGGTCTCAGGAATATCCAGCCATACCTGTCTTCAACCTTTTTTATTTTGAAAAAAAATTAAATACCAGTAGAAATCATCTGTCTTGCTGTCAAGCCAGGCTTGAAGAGATGTACCCTCTGGAATTGAACCATTACCCATGTTCATTGGAAGGGATGTGTTGGGGACATGCATTTGGAGACTGGTACTTCTGGGTATCCATCCTAAAAGGTAGGTAGTTATGTAAAACCCCCCTTCATCTTCCAACTCCACTTTCCAAGTCTCAGCCACTACCATGGACCTCCCATAGTTTCTTCTAGTTGTGTTCAGAGGCTTTGCAATGGGGATAAGGCACATGAAGCATGGCTGAAACATCTGAGGACTGAATTTGACATTAACGTGTAACCAAAAAACACTCTATAACAGCTTCAAGAACCAAGAGGGCAAAGATGGCGGGAGACTATGTGCATGCCATCAGAGCTCTCAGATGGATGGGAAAACCCTGATACTGGTCCTGTCCTAAGTCATAGTGGGTCTTCAGGGGAGGCATGCCATTTCTTGATTAATAGAAAGAAATGCAGGCAAGCTTTCCTGGCAGGTACTGTAGCAACTGTTTCCTTAGGAGTATTTAAAAAGCAAAAAAGCAAAAATGATTAGCTGAGGAAATTGCTTTCAATTTGATTCTGCCTGGAGCCAGGAGCCAAGACATCAGACTCTGAGGGCCTCCTTCCACAGTGTACTCCCATGATTACAATAAAAGGACTGAAAAATGTTGGCCAGGTTCATCGTACAACTTGGAACACAATCACACAAGCACAGTGCCTGCTCTCCCGCAGGTCTGGAGAGGTGGGGACAATGAGGAG